GTGTGATGATGAGATGCAGACATGGAGTACTGTGTGATGATGAGATGCAGACGTGGAGTATTGTGTGATGAGATGGTAGACAATGACATGGAGTACTGTGTGATGATGAGATGCAGACATGAAGTACTGTGTGATGATGATGAGATGGTAGACACAGACATGGAGTACTGTGTGTTGAGATGGTAGATGTAGACATGGAGTACTGTGTGATGATGAGATGGTAGACGCAGACATGGAGTACTGTGTGATGAGATAGTAGAAGCTGGCATGGACTCCGGGAAAACAATCAGCCTGCTTATCACCTGTGCAAAGATGAGCGTGAAATCATGGTGACTGACACAAGTACCTGCTCCTTCAGTTCCCAGGTGACATCACGTGGCAACAAGTATCCACAACTTCAGGAAACAGTAGCCTCACCTAATGGCCACAGTCTGGTAAGAGAAGCCGAGCAGATGGTCCTAGTGTAAGCAAATGCTGCAGAAAAGAGTTTAAAATATACATCTTCAAGAAAACACTGTCGGCTTCTGTCAGAACACGGTTCAGGAACGGAGCTCTGTGAGGAGGATTCTGAGGGCTTGTGAGAAAACTCCAAGAAGACAGGACAAGACTTTGTGACCTCAGCCTTTCTTCAAACCCACGGGATTGTTCTTGGAATGTGTTTTTGTACCCCTCCCAGGTGTAGCAGATAGAAGCGGGGTTGGGGTCGTGCGGGCGGTCCCTGATGCTGCGGCGCCCACTGGTCGGGCTGGCAGTGGCCGCCCTAGGTCACTCCCTTGCAGAGGGCACGGCAGGACCTAGGCCAGTGGTGCTGAGTGGGCCGTTGGGGGTAGGGAAGAGCACCCTGCTCAAGAAGTTGCTCCAGGAACACGACAGCATCTTTGGCTTCAGTGTGTCCCTTACTACAAGGACCCCACGACCAGGTGAGGAAAATGGCAAAGATTACTACTTTGTGACCAGGGAGATGGTGCCCCGTGATATCGCAGCAGGGGACTTCATCGAGCATTCTGAGTTCTCGGGGAACCTGTACGGGACAAGCAAGGCGGCTGTTCGTGCTGTGCATGCCATGAACCGCATCTGCGTGCTAGACGTCGCCCTACAGGGTGTTCGCAGCATCAAGAAGACTGATCTGCATCCCATCTACATCTCTGTACAGCCCTGCTCGCTGGATGTGCTGGAGCAATGACTGTGCCTGCGTCATTGAGACCGAGGAGAGTTTGGCAACGCGGCCGGCAGCTGCCCGGACTGACATGGAGGAGGAGCCTGGCTTGTTTGACCTGGTGATCACCAATGACAACTTGGATACAGCCTATGCCGCACGTACGGAAGCAGGCGCTCTCAGAGGAAATCAAGAAAGCTCAGGGGACCGGCCATGCCTGAGGGCCTGCTTCATTCCACAGAGTCATGACTGTGACCCACATATGTTTGGGCTATGAGGTGGGGTGATCTTTGCCAGGACACCGAGGACTTGTAATAGGCTTCCGCTGTGGAGCTGCCCCTTGTCTGGCCACATGGTGGCTCTTCAGCCTGTCCTGGCTTGCTGAGGCTAAAGTCCTACGATACATACCCACACCTATTCTCCCTGGGCTGGGCTGCCCCTGTCCGTATCCCTGTCCCTCCTGCTGGAGCAGGACTCACATTCTAATAAAGTAACTATTGCATTAAAAAAAAAAAGTGGGTTTGGTTCAGATGACCCATGGCCGCATGCTATTGCTGTTCAGAAGGTTTCTAGCCTGAACTCATGTCAACTTTATTTATATGACCTTTCGTATGTACATTGTCTGATGCTCTAAATACAGTTGGCTATTGTGGCCGGGTGGTGGTGGCTCACGCCTTTAATCCCAGCACTCGGGAGGCAGAGGCAGGCAGATCTCTGTGAGTTCGAGACCAGCCTGGGCTACAGAGTGAGTTCCAGGACAGACTCCAAAGCTACACAGAGAAACCTGTCTCGGAAAAAAAAAAAAAAAAGAAAAGAAAAGAAAAAAAGTTGGCGAATGCATGAGACTTTAGTGTGCCTCACTCATCAGCTCTATTTTCCCACATTCCTACAGAGAAACTAAACAAAGAGGTTTCTGTGGCTGTGAGAAGCATCATTACCAAGCACAGCCTGGGGAAGAAAAGGTTTATTTGTCTAACAACCACATCAGAGGCCCTCACTGAGGGAAGTCAAGGCAGAAGAAACTCGAGCAGAAACCTGGAGGCAGGAACTGAAGCCAGGGAGGAGTGTTGCTTCCTGCCTGGCTCCCAACAGCTTGTTCAACCTGCTTTTTAAGGCCACCCAGGGCCACCTACCCAGGGGAGCCCACAGGGGCTGGGTCCTCCCACTTCAATCAGAAAACGACCCGCTTCCAAGCGCCCTGGCCAATCTGATGGGGACCTCTTCTTAATTGTGGTTCCCTGCTTCCCAGATGGCTCTGGCCTATGCCAAGCTGACCCAAACAACAACCAGCACTGGTGGGAACAAGGTTTTTAAAAACAAACAGAAATTTTTGAGCCGAAAAATACAATCAGTAAAATAAAGAGCATGACAGAAGACCGCAAGGAAAATTAGTGATGTCAAACACTGGCTGTTTGAAAATATACCGTCCTCGGAGAAAAACAGAGAAGAATAAAGGTGGATAACGAAAGCTTGCAAGAACTTTGAGGCACCTTTTGAAAAACCAACATTTGGGTGCATGATATTAGAAAATATTTGAGAGTGACTGAGGAGCAAACAGGCTATTTAAAGAGACGGCGACAGGGAGCCCCTTAACCCACAGAAGGATGAGAGACATCCAAATACAGGGCACTCAAAGGCTGTCAGCCTCAGTGAACTCAGCCAGGGCTTCCCCTGGGCTGTAACAGAACCCGCAAAGATGAAGGAGAGAGAAAAGGTAGCAAGAGAAAAGAAAGACACCTTCCTTCTCTCTCTCTCTCTCTCTCTCTCTCTCTCTCTCTCTCTCTCTCTC